TCCTCTTCTGAGAAATGTCTGTTCAGGTCATTGGCCCATTTATTGATTGGGTTATTTGTTTTTATTTTGGTGCTTAGCTTTTTGAGTTCTTTATATTCCCTAGATTTTAGTGCTCTATCTGATGTATGAGGGGTAAAAATTTGCTCCCAGGATGTAGGCTCTCTGTTGGGGATTTCTTTGATGGGAGATGTCTTACTATTGGCTGATTCAGTTGCATTCCTTATTACTGGTCTATTCAGGTTATCTGGGTTTTTTATTGTTGTTGTTTTTATTAAGACTTGTAACGTTTCTAGAAAATTGTCCATTTCTTGTAGGTTGTCCAATTTATTGATATGTAATATTCATAGTAGTCTTTTGTGGTCTTTTAGAATTCTAAATTTTAGTTTCATGATTGTTTCTGGTTTTTTACTGATAATGAAATTCATTTAACTATGCTTGGATTTTCATTATTTTTTCTTCCTACTCACTTTGGATTTTATTTGTTTTTTTCCTAGTTTGTGAAGGTGTAATGCTAGTTGTTTATTTGAGGTCCTTCTTGATTTTTGATGTAGGCACTTATTGCTTTCAAATTCCCTCTTAGAAATGTCTTCTGCTGCATACTATAAGTTTTGTAATGTTGTGGGCCCATTTTCATTTGTCTCAAGATATTTTTCAGGAGAAATTGTTTAATATTCATGTAATTGTGTTTTTTCCAAAATTCCTCCTGTTATTGATTTCTATTTCATACCACTGTAATCGGGGAAGATACTTGATATGATTTTAGTCTTCTGAAATTTGTTAATACTTGTTTTGCACCCTACCTGGAGAATGTTCTGAGTATACTTGAGAAAAATGTGTATTTTGCTGCTTCTGGATGAATTTTAAGGTAATTATTGATAGGTGAAGACTTACTGCTAACATTTTGTTAATGTTAGCAGATAGAAAGTTCTGTGTATATCTTTTAGGTCGAATTGGTCTAAAGTGTAGTTCAAATCCAGTGCCTCTATATTGACTTTTTGTCTGGATTATCTATCCATTTTTCAAAATTGGGATATTGAAGTTCTCTACAATTGTTGTATTACAGTCTTTCTTTCTCTCTTCAGATCTATTAATGTTTGCTTTATATTTAGGTACTTCCATATTGGGGGCATACAGATATTCCTGCAGTTATGATAGACTTACATCCTCATAAACTCACTGTAAGCTGAAAATTTTGTTAAGCAAAAAAACGCATTTAATACTGTAACCTAGCCTACCAAACATCATCACTTTGCAATATAGTGCATTATAGAGTGCTGCTTGCATGAGAGATCCATGGTTCACTGCCACTGCTCAGCATAATGAGAAAATATCATATTGGTCATTACTAGCCTGGGAAAAGATCAAGATTCAAAGTATAGTTTCTATTGAGTGTGTTTTGCTTTTTGAACCATCATAAAGTTGAAACATCATCAGTCAAGTCATCATAAGTTTGAGGACTGTCCATTTAGAATTATTATATACTTTTGATAAATCAACCCCTTATCATTATGTACTGACATTCTGTCGCTTAAAACTTTTAATTAAAAAATCTCATTTTATCTGATATATGTATAGCTACTCCAGTTCTCTTTTGGTTTCTATTTGTATGTTATGTCTTTTTCCATCCCTTCATTTTCAGTCTAAATTTAGTGTCTTTAAAGGTAAAATTACTTTCTTGTAGGAAACTTACTTTTGGGTTTTGTTTAATCCATTCAGATACTCCATTCTTTTGATAGGAAAATGTTGTCCATTTACATTTAAGGTAATTATCGATAGGTAAAGACTCACTGCTAACATTTTGTTAATTGTTTTATAGTTGTTTTGCAGATCCTTTGTTCTTTTCTTCTATTGCTGTCTTCCTTTGAGTTTGAATTATTTTGTTTATTTATTAGTGGTGGTATGCTTTGATTTTTTTACTTTTTATTTTTTCTGTATCTACTATAGGTATTGCTTTTTGGTTAGGCTTACATAAAACATAGTGGTAATAGGCTATTTGAAGTTTATGACAACTTAATTTTCATTGCTTAAAAAACAAAAAACAAACAAACAAATAAACCTCTACAGTTTTGCCAGGTGTGGTGGTACACATCCTGGAATCCAGCAGTTCAGGAAGTTGAGGCAGAAGAATTGCAAGTTTGAGGTCAACCTCAACAACTTAGTCCCTAATCAACCTAAAGAGATCCTCTCTCAAAACAAAAAATTAAAAGGGCTAGGGATGTGTCTCAGTGTTTAAGTACCCCTGGGTTCAATATCCAGTATCAAAAACTAAACCAAACCAAAAAAATCTCTACATTTTTACCACCCCCACATACATTTTCTAGCATTCTTTATTTACTAATATGGGTTTAAGTCTAATGTCTGTGTCTACTGTCAAATGTCCTTTCCTTTTAGCCTGAGAACTCCCTTAGCATTTCTTATAAGACAGGTCTACTAGCAGCAAATTTTCCCCAGCTTCTCTTAGTTTGGGACACTCTCACCTTCTTCATTTTTGAAGAATACCTTTGTTGGTTATAAAATTTTTAGTTGAGAGATTTGCCCCCACCCCCAGCATTTAAAAAAATTTTTTTGCCATTTTGACTGAAGTGAGATGAAATCTCAATATTTTTTAAATTTGCATTTCTCTAATTGCTAGAGATTTTGAACATTTTTTTATATATTTGTTGACTATTCATATTTCTTCTTTTGTGAGGTATCTGTTTAGTTTCTTTGCTCATTTATTGATTGGGTGTTTTTGTTTTTGATATTAAGTTTTTTTAGTTCTTCATATATCCTAGAGTTTAATGCTCTGAGTTGCAGGTGGCAAAGATTTTCTTCCATTCCATAAACTATGCCTTCATACTTTTGAATGTTTCCTTTGCTATGAAGGTTTTTAGTTTGCTGCTATTCCATTTGTTGATTATTGATTTTACTACTTGTGCTTTAGGGATCTTATTAAGGAAGACCATTTCTGAGGAAGGAAGTCAATTCCTGAGCCAATATGGTGTAGTGTTAGGCCTACCTTTTCTTCTAGGATGTGTGGGATTTCTGGTCTAATACCTAGGTCCTTGATACAATTTGAGTTGAGTTTTGTGCAAGGTGAGAAATAGGGGTTAAAATTCATTCTACTACATATAGATTTTCAGTTTTCTCATCACCATTTGTTGAAAAAGTCTATCTTTTCTCAAATGAATGTTATTGACAACTTTGTCTAGTATAAGGTAAATGTATGTTTGTGGTTTTGTCTCTGTGTCTTCTATTCTGTTCCATTGGTGGTCCTACCTGTTTTGGTGCCAATACCATGTTATTTTTGTTGCTATAGCTCTACAGTATAATTTTAGGTCTGGTATTGTGATGCTTCCTGCTTTGCTTTTCTCACTAAAGATTGCTTTCGTTATTCTGGACCTCTTGTTTTTCCAGATGAATTTCATGAGTGCTTTTGCTATTTCCATGAAGAATATCATTGGAATTTTGATGGGAATTGCATCAAATATACACAGTGTATGTGGTAGTATGGTACTTTAAATATGTCATCCCACCATCTTCTGACCTAAATGGTTTCTGATGAAAATCTAGCTGTTAATCTTATGGAGGATCACTTGTACATGATAAGTCATTTCTTTATTGCTACTTTTAATTTCTCTCTTATAATGTGCCTTGATGTGGCTGTCTTTGAGTTTATCTTCCTTGGAATTTATTGACCTTGGTGTATAGATTTATGACTTTCATCAAATTTGGAACATGTTTGCCATTATTTATTCAAATTTTATTTCTTTTGAAAAAAATATTTTCCCTTTTCTTGTTACTCCATAATGTGTATGTTGGTAGACTTGGTTGTTCCATAGAACCTTTAGGCTTTTTTTCACTTTCCTTCATTCTTTTTTCTTTATTCTCCTCATAATGAATAATTTCAAATTTCTTATTTTTAAGCTCCTTGATTCTGTCTTCTGCCTAATTTAATCTGCTATTAAACTCGAGTAGGTTTTTCATTTCAGTTATTGTGCTTTATAAGTTGAATTTCTAGTTAGTTCCTTTGTATAATTTCTATTTCTTTATTAGTGTTCTCATTTTTCTTTATACTTCCTTTTCCTGGTATACTTAGTTATTTGTCAATGGTTCCCTTTAGCTTTTCAACATATTTAGAAGAGTAGTTTAAAAATATCTGCTGTTGAGTTCAAAGTTTGGGCTTCCTCAAGAATAATTTCTATTTTTTTCCTCTAAGTCAGCATATTTCATGTTTATTTATATATTTTATAGTTTTTTGTTGAAAATCAGGCATTTTAAATATTATACCATGGGTAACTCTGAAAATCAATTCTCCTCCTCCTTCAGGAATTACTGTTGTTTACTGTTGGAGGATGCGATCATCCTTCTCCTTTATTATGATCAATTTGTTTTCTATTCTGTTACCTCTTCCAGGTCAGCTAGTGACCTGGAAGAGATTTCTTTACATATCAAAATTTACCCTCCTCTTATTTCCTTTATTAAGCAGTTCCCTATTTGTTTTAGATTTTATACTGGAATTCTGAAGTAGTTAATCTCTTAGGTTTTGACAATTCAAGTTCATTTCAGTTATTCTTTAAACATGTGAGTTACCATTTTCCCTGATGTAGTTTCTCCTTCCTTCCTTCCTTCCTTCCTTCCTTCCTTCCTTCCTTCCTTCCTTCCTTCCTTCCTTTTGATATTGATATATAGTTTCATTGATATTAACCTAGTTTTTTTGTTGTTGTTGTCCTTTAAATTACTATTCCCCCCCTGGAGCTTGGAGAATTAGAAGAGGTTTAATGATGTATGATGTAATATCATGCATTTTCTTTTAATGTTTGGGATACCTTACCTTAAATGTTTCAGTCATAGATCCCCCCAATGCACTTGTTAGTTGTAAATAAATTCTTTTTTTTTGTATGAGATAAAACCAAATGCTAACACTCTCATTATAATAATAACAATAATGCTCTTTCAAGATTATATTGACATTTAACTATTTTTTCCTCTCTACTTCCTCTGATCTGCTTTTATTTCAGACTAGCCCCCAAAAAAGTTCAAATCTTCCTGCTTTTGTAGGTAAGTTTTAACTTACATATATATTATTATAATTTTCAAATATTCAATTAAATTTGGAATATTAATTCATATAAAATAATTATCAGTACTTTCTTTCAAAAGTAAGTAATACTTTTTTATTATGGGTATGAAGAGTGTGACACACTACCACTATCAGTAGAAAAATAATCAAAATTAAATACAGTTGGCCTTAAAATCAAGAAGCTCAGAAAATTTTTTAATTTTTTATCTATTATAATATAATATTGGTAAATAACCTCTTACATTTGTTTATCTTTGTTTCTAAACTTTTATCTACCCTTTAGTTCTAGCTAATGAAATGGCTTTTCTAATTTAAGGATTAGATCAGTAATATCATTAACTTATCAATAAACCCAAAGGTGATAATCAAAATATTTAACAATAAATCCTTCATAAGCATGGAAAAAACAGATCCTTTTCTGTTGGATCAGTGTTCCAGAAATCCTTGATGTACCATTTTGGATTTGAGGGAAATGGGAAATTCCCAGGGAATGAAGGGCAATTCATATAAAGGAAAACTTGGGATTTCTTGAAGGAGCAATGTTTTACCAATATTTAGCATAGAAATATTTTTTAAATTCTAGCAACTAAAATAATCATAGCTATGTAGTGTCTGCATATCCATTTAGAGGTGACTATAATAATCAAAATGAAGATGAAATAGGAAGATAGCTGGACCATGTTCTATAAGGGTACAAGTGAGCAAGCAATCATATTTCTTTATAACATACAAGCATCCTTGGATTATAGAGAGGTCTCTCTAAGGATTTATGGGGAAAAGAATCATATCAAAATTGTAAATGACAAGGCAAATTTGGCTTAGCTTTAATAGTATAATATGATAAAATTGAAGGATTTTAGCATGATTGTATCTGAATACTTTAGTCATATATGTATTTATTCATCTGTTCCATGCAGAAAGCCATTTTGGAACATAATATATCAATTTCTGGAACCAATGCATGAAATGGCAGAAAAAATCTAAAATACACTTCAACTGTTTTTTATTTTAGAAGAAAAAAACCTTTTGAAAAAAAATTCAGGATTAATAAAATATCTTGAGAGCCTGAGATTACTTGGTTGCCTATAAAATGATAATGCTGTGATTAGAATGTGTCTGCCAAAAAGCATGTGTTGCAAACTTCATTATCAGTACAACAGTATAAAGAGGGGGGCTAATAAGAGGAAATTACACCATGAGGTTGGAGGGAATGGATTAATGACTTTTTCCTTGAGAGTGGGTTTGTTATCATGGGACTCCTCTGCAATAAAAGGTGAAGCTGGTTTCCTTTTTCTCTGTCTCCCTCCCTCCCTCTTTGTCTCCTTTTCTCTCTCTTGCTTTTCTGTCTTCTGCTGTGGGAGATCCCCACCAGATGCTGGCCCCTTGATCTTAGATTTCCCAGCCTCTGGAAGTATCCAGAAATATATTTCCATTCCTTATAAATTACCAGTCTCAGGTATTCTGTTATAGCAGTACAAAATGGACTAAGACACAAAGTTGCTATAACAAATACCTGAAAATATGAAAGCAGCTTTGAAGTTGCACAATGAATTAGAGGTGAAAGAATTTGGAGTAGCAAGCTGTAGGTTGAGCTAGGTGCAGGGGCACATGCCTATAACCCCAGCAACTAGAGAGGCTGAAGCAGGAGGTCTGCAAGTTCAAGGCCAGCCTCAGCAATTTAGTGAGACATGAGGCCCTCAGCATTTCATTGAGACCCTGTCTCAAAAATTTAAAAAAAAATTTTTTTTAAAGAGTGGGTATGTGGCTCAGTGGTAAAGCACACTGGGTTAAATTCCTGGTGCAAAAAAACCCTGGAAATAAATAGGCCAGCATGTAAATTTTGGTGAGGGCTCAGAAGAGGAAAGCTATAGGGAAAATCTGAAAGTTCTTAGAGATTACTTAAGGGGTTGTGGTCAGAATATTTGTAGAACTATGGATGGTAAAGACAATTATGAGGAAATCTAATTGGAAATGGGGAACAAGGTTTAGAAACTGGAGAAAAAAGTCATCCTTATTATAAAATGGCAAAGGACTTAGCTGAATTGTGTTCATACCTAGAGACTTTATAGAAAGAAGAATCTGGCAGAAGAAATTTCTAAGCAAAATACTGAGAAACTTCATGGTTTATTTTAACTGCATTAGTAAAATACTAGAGGAAGGAAATAAATTTAAAGAAGGAATTTATAATTACACAGGAAGCAGAATGGAAAGATTTGGAAAATTCATAACCACGTCATGCACATAGTGAAATACTGTGCTTAGGAAAGCAAACCAAGAGTGTGGCCAAGCAACCATTTGCTAAAAAGTTTAGTAAAGGTAGAAGGGAGCCGAGTGCTATTCATTAAGAAAATGGGACAGTGACTCCAAAGGCATTTTTGAGAACTTCTAGGACCTTCATGGCAAGGTTTCCAGTGAGACATTTATAGGACCTCTAAATTTTCTGTCCTGTGCCACCTCAAATAACTGCTCCCTGTATTCTGGCACAGTGCTCCTCAACCACACAACCATGGTGGAAACCAGCCACTACTCCAGAAGGTGAACATCATGGGCCCTTAGTAGCATCATATGTTGTTAATTCTACAGGCACACGGAGTTTATAAACTATGGAGGCATGGTTACAGTCACCTAAATTTCAAAGGATATCAATCTGAAGAACCCAGTAGAAACTTGTCACAAGGCCAGAGCCACTACAGAAAACCTTTACAAGGGAAATTCACAGTGGGTGGAATTGTGGTGTCGAGGCTGAAGCAAACCCCCAGAACTACTAGCATGCAATGCCAGCCTGCAAGAGCACCAGAGACTCTGAGACTCCAAACTATGAGAGCTGCAGGCTACCTGAGGCCTAGACCAAACCCACATCCCAGATGGCCACAGAATAGGGCATGGAGTTAAGTAAGACTATGCTGTAGTCTTAACATTTGATGTTGGTTTTCCCCTTGGATTTTTGGGCTGACTGGGAACCAGTTGCCCCTTTCTTGACTATTTCTCATTTTTGGAATGACAATGCCTATCATATGCCCAGTGCCAACATTGTATTTTGGAAGTTGAAAACTTGTTTAATTTTCCAGTCCCACAGCTGGAGGAAAATTTGCATCAGAATGAATCATGGCTTGAGTCTCAACCATATCTGATTTGATGAGACCCTAGACTTTGGACTCTTCTGAGTTTCTGGACTGAGTCAAGACTTTGGGGCTATTGGGACAGAATTATATTTTACATGTGAGAAAGATGAATTTTGAGGGTTGGGGGCAGAATGCTGTGGTTGAATGTGTTTTCCAGAAAGCTTGTGTTGGAAATTTAATCCCTAGTGCAAGTATTAGGAGATAGAGCCTAATGGGAGATGATTATGCCATAAGGGTAGAGTAAATGGATTAATGACATTATTGTAAGAGTGGGTTTGTTAAAGAGTGGATTCCTTAACAGGTAGAGTTTGGGCCCTCCTTGTCTCTGTCTTCCTTATCCTCTCTTGCCCTTCTGCCTTCTGCCATGGCATAATGAAATAAGAAGGCCCTCACCAGATGCTGGCCCCTTGATCTTAGACTCCAGAACTGTAAGAAATAAATTTCTGTTCCTTATAAATTACTCAGACTCAGGAATTCTGTTATAGCAGCACAAAACAGACTAATATACTGATAAAAATTTTGTTCTAATATCTTTTGGATTCTTTTAACCATAGAAGAACTTTTGAAGTGAAATTTTGGAGGTTCTCATTCAATTATTCTCAATTATTTGTTGGAAAAGGGGAATTATTGTTTCAAGTAAAATGAAGTTATAAAGTAGGTCTCGCCCCTGCTTTTCCAAGATGTCTGTGACTTAGACAATTATTTGTCTTATAAAAGCCTCAGTTTTCCCACTTTAAATATGAAAGAATGGAACTTGGTACTAAGTATAATATTCCAATTCTTTGCAGTTTCTTTATATTACCTCAATCCTTCTTCAGAATTCTGTGAATGCTTCACATATATTACCTTATTTAATTTTCATATGTGCTATGAAATTGCATCACTCTAGTTTTAGAGAAGTGGCAACTAAGGCAGGAAAAGTTTGAATATTCGAAAATACTACAAAAGGGTTATATTAAAGAATTAGTGGTCCAGTTTCTTCTGACCACTAGGTAATGACAAATACAATCTGTGGTAGATATAAAATAAATGCAAATACTTGGGAGAAAATGTGGCTTATTTTCTTATCGACCACCACTATCTAGATCTTGGGCAGCTTAACTTTTCTCAATTTTTCTCATGTTTAAAATGAGAAAGAGGTAGAAGCTTGGGGAGGGAGGAGGGAAGATATAAGGATTGAAATTGACCAAATTATATTGTTATATTGTGGGCATGTATTAATAAATAACAATAAATCCTGCATATATTAATATGTAACAATAAATTTCACATAGTGAAATTTTGTTCAATTTTTTTTATCAGTGGATTATAATTATACATAACAACAAAAACAAAAAACCAGAGAGGTGGTTTAAGGACTGTTTTGTCTCCTATTACTCTATAAGTTTATATATTTATATCTGAACAGAGTCTTTAAAAACTATTTAAGTCTGTAATTCCAGCGACTCAGAAAGCTGAGGCAGGAAGATCTCAAGTTCAAGACCAGCCTGGGCAACTGAGCAAACCCCTATCTCAAAATAAAAAACAAGGGCTGGGGTTATGGTTCAGTTGTAGACCTCTTGCCTCGCATATGTGGAGCACTGGGTTTGATCCTCAGCACCACATGAGTAAATAAAATAAAGGTATTATGTCATCTACAACTAAAATAAGAATTAACAAAAAAGGCTGGAGATGCAGCTTAGTGGTAGAGCACACCTGGTTTCAATCTCCAGTACTGGGGGCGGGGAACCTATTCAAATAAGATATCTATGTATCTATCTATCTGGATAGACATAAATAGATATAGTGCTTTTGCTATACCTTCCATTATACATTTCAGTTTGGTCTTGCAGACCAGTCTCATTAACCCAATACATTATATAAAAACATTGCATAAAGTATATCTACATTATATAAAGTGAAATATAGTACACTAAAAAGATTATTTTTAAACTTTAGCACTTTCATATAGCACTCTTGTTAAATTCCGTGAATTATTATCACTGTAAGTAAATTAGATGTGTGTGGCAAGCCCAGTTAACTTTGGAGCATCTCTCAATGTGACCTTCTCATTCCTTGTATGTATATATGTGTGTGTTTGTATATGTATGTGTACATATTTATTTCAGCCTAGCCCTGTAACTCACTGAAAATCATAAGTCATTCCCCTCCCTACTTTAAAATTCTCTTAGTTTCTTAATAAGATTTATCTATAGATTCATGAATTGAATTCTTAAGAAAATAGTATTCATGAAAAGTATCTGGACTATAAGGTTGTGTTTTTGCACAGCTTTACCAGGTTGAGTATGTGTACGGAAGATTACCCAAATGACTGACAGAGGAAGGCTAACCTGTGGTAGCTCCAAGAAAGATGATTAAAAGCTATTCTTAATATGTTCAGTGAAGCACAGCTTTGACTAATGTATATGATATTTAGCAGCCATAAAAATGGTCAGAATCACCAGAAGTGCAATATTGAGATATTCTTTAAAAGTTTTAGTTTAGTTTAGTACAAGTACTGTATACCAACATTTACTCTAATCTAACTAAAAGATAGTCCCTAATGTACATGAAAATACAGAGAGCATAGTGACATTTAATTTTAATCACCTAATGTATACATTTCAACAATACAATTGAAAATAGCAGTTAGAGTTATTAGGTGACAAACCCAAGAGTATGTGTATTCAGGGATCAGAGAAAAGAGTGGCATTGTAATGATATCAACAAAACTTACATTCACTTTGTGCTTCTCTTGTTCCAGATACAGTGTTAGATGCTTTGGTCCACTGAACTACATAGCAGCCTTAGGAGTGTGTCTTCATTCTTTGATAGATGAGGTACATGAAGCTGAGAGAGGCAATATTAGTTGCCCAAATTTAAATGGTTAGTTGCAGGAACTGTCCCAGCAGTCAGGTCCAGGGGCTGCACTCAGCCACTATGCTTCCGTATAATCACTAGGGAGGCATGAGCCTTTACAAAACACACGTCAAATGCCAAACATGGAATTTACATATGTACTCATTTTTCTCATTCTTTTTCAGATATGGACATGAAAGATAAAGGCATTGGATATAAAAATTCAAATAGAAAAGGAAAAACAGTAAGTAGATTGCTGTATCCTTTAAAAACAATTATTAGCATTTATATTCTTTTGAGTCATTAATATTTATTGGTAGCATTCTGTCATCAAGAAAGTTATTTTATAAAAGTATGATTTTATTATAAATCAGTTTTATCATATATTCATTTTTACTTATTTTTATACATTTATAGATTATTATAAAGCAATAGAAACATCAACTTTAGCAGGCTATACTACTTAATTTATTGCTTCTGCCTTCCCACAAATAGCTATTGCTTAATAGGCAAACCACAATAATATTAGGAAAGTACAGACCATACAAGACCTTCCATTGTAAGATGAAGTTTTTAAAAAACCATCCTCCTTATCTCAATTGCCTACTGCCTATTAATACTTGAATTTAACTATTTTGGATTTCTTTTTTTGAAACTTTTTAATTATTCAGTTGTATAAATATCATGCCACGCTAATAGTAAGTATTTTAGAAACACAACAGGCGTTATATGGCTTAAGATAAGGATCAGGCAAGAAAGGAATATTGAGATGAAAGGTGAGAAGAGAAAGAAAAATGTGTTTTACCTCATATTTTGCAATCAGAAGGCAAGAACTATGCTCACACAGGGTAAAAGATTCTGACTCCTAAAAGAAGTGTCAGTGCTTTTCCTTATAATTTCTTTTTCTTTTTTTAATTTCCTTTTTTAAAAGTTGTTATTGTTGTTGTACTGGGAATTTAAGCTAAGGGCACTTTACCAATGAGTTACATTCTCAAGTCCTTTTTAATTTTTTTTTAAATAGGATCTTGCTAAATTTCTTAGGGCTTCACTGTTTTGCTGAGGCTATTCTCAAATTTGTAATCCTCCTGCTTCAGCCTCCTGAATTGCTGGGATTACAGACATGCATCACTACACCTGGCAATCTTATAATTTTTGGTGATTAACTGACTCCTTAATCCAAGACAGTGCCAGCTCATGCTAATATCCTTGTAGAAAATGGAATTTGATGTGAGAATTTCCAGGACTCCAAGCAATAGGATATAGTTACTTTAAAAGACTGCAATTTCCAAATTGTGCAAGACATTAGTAATTCTAATATTCAGTCCAGTTGTTCCAATAAGACATTAAAATGTCCTGGAAATATTAATTTTTGTATTTAAACTACTTCTTCCTGATTGACTTATGCACTTAATGCATCTGACTACATGGTCTAGGTATGTATCTATAAGTTGTTAACACATCCATACAGAAAGAATGCATATTTCAGAAGACTTTAATTCTGGCATTAGTCTTTTCACTTGTTAGCTGGAGGATAAATGTGTACAGTTTATGAAAAATTTATAGAAATACCTATTATGTAGCAGACACCATGCTAATTAATACTTGATGAGATTATAATGTATGATATCCTACTAAACTTTTTATGAACATGTTTTATTTAGTTCTCCTGAAATTAGGCATTTATATTATTTACATTTTGAAGATGAAAAATACTGAGGCTCTGTGAGGTTAGATAACTGTGTAAGGATGTTAGGACTTGGTCCTAGAGTGCATATATTTAACCACCTTCTCTTGCTTTCCAATCTTAAGAAATTAAAAATATTCATTTATGAATTTATGCATCACTTAATGATGGGGATAGGTTCTGAGAAAAGCATCATTGGGCCATCTCATTGTGCAAATGTCATAGAGTGTACTTACAAAATAAGACAGCTATGTTATCACTAGGTGATATAATCTTATCAGACAACTATCTCATATGTGGTTCACCATCATTGACTAAAATGCCATTGTGGAGCTCAAAACTTTATTAGTGAATTTGACAGAAAAGTAAGAAAGAATTATTATATAGCTATATTAGATGAATGCACAGGGTTCCCTTAGGAGTATCTTATGAAGAATGCACTTAATGGGGACCTAGAGTAGGGGAAGGAGAGTAAAAATAGGTAATGAAAACTCTTTTTAGTCAAAAGAGGTAATACATAAAGAATATAAAATATTGTCTAGTGCCTTGCACATACAACTTGCATTGTGTAGGTTGAATTGAACTAAAGCCTCCAAGCAATAAAATTTCTAGGACTATTTAAACAGTTCATGTTGTGGTAGTATCACTGAGCAAAAAAAAAAAAAAATATGGAAATTATATGTTCAATCCAAATTTGAATATTTTGACAAAGATAAATTTTAGCAGACATATGTAACCATAAGTGTCTCCAAGGGATTCAGAAATGGTTTTCTAAGTAAAGTACAAACCGTTTTCTAAAAGCTAGTGTACCAAGGTCTTCAGTCATTCTTGTCACTCTTTTTCATCAGAATGTCAGCTCCTTGAGTGTGAAGAGTTTGTGTACTTTATGTTCCCAGCATCTAGGACAGTATCTGAGCCTCCAACAAATACTTTTTGAATGAGTACCTACTAAATGCCAGGCACTATGGATACAAAAATTAAAAGAATACAGCCCTGAGTTCAAAGACCTTTCAGCCGGATAGATTATTTCGATAAAAAAAATAGTTTACTCAAGTAAATCTATTTGTTCTAACAGAGATGCGCTTACAAAATACTTTGTATAATAGGTATAGGAAAGCAGCACTTAAAGATCTGATAGCTGGCTTAAGATTGGGCTTGACTTCTTATTAGATGATTTGGCACATTATACCACTGCTATAAAAAAAGGCCATAAACTGAGTGGCTTGTGAATAATGGAAATTTATTTCTTACTATTTTGGAGACTGAGAAATCCATGGTCAAGGCACTTGCAGATTCATTGTTGGGTGAGGGCTTGCTTCCTGGCTTATAGAGAGATTCCTGTCTTCTCTACGTGTTCTCACATGGTGATAGGGGTGAGAGAGACAGATTTTTCATGAAGGTAGTAATCCCATTTATAAGGGCCTCCAAATACTATCCTCATGACCTCCAAATACTATCATATTGAAGATTAGGTTTTTACATGATTTTGGAGGGCACATAAATATTCTGACTATAGCATTTCATCCTCAGCCTCCTAAAATTCATGTGCTTCTCACATGAGAAATGAATTAATTCCATCCCAACAACCCCAATAGTCTTAACTCATTCTAGCATCAGTTCAAAAATCTAAAATCCAATGTCTTGTGTAAATATAATCTAAGTCAGATATGGGTGAGATGTAAGGTATCCTGACACCAATTCCCTATCAGTTATGAACCTGTGAAGCCAAACATATAATGTCTACCAAAATACAACTGTGGAATAAGAATAAAAGGAACATCCCATTCCAAATGGAAGAAATATGAAGGAAGAAAGGAGTAGAAAGTCCAAGAAAGTATAAATTCTACAAGCAAACTATAAGGTTTTGAGGTTTAAAACAGTTCTTTTGGGCTTTTCTGCACTCAAGGATGTTCTGCACTCAAGGCCTACTGGGCTGAGATCCTGCCTTCTAACCTACTGGGACAGAGAATGCTCCCACAGCATTGCCAGAAAGAACTTAGATCCCAGGACCCAAGTAGCCCTCCTGCTCCTATGGCCTTGTGTGATCCCATCTCCACAACTGTGAATAAGGACCATCCAATCTGTTGAAAATTGATGATCCCCTTTTTGAAACCTAAGAGGGAAACCTAATGATTTCTGAATTCTTCTGGGGCATTCTTCCTTGTTTTGAATAGTAGTGCCTGACTTCTGTTGAGATGGCTGATAAGGCTGTGATTCTCACCTATATACTTATCTCCTTATTATATGGTCACTTGGTCAAGTCCTTAGTGTCCATGCTTTCTCATTTTCTGCAATATGAATAGGCTAAAAAATTACCAGTTCTAGTTCCTTTTTACTTAACTACTCAATCTTGGAAGTCATTCTTCTCTGATGTTTATAATTAGTGGCTAGGATGAGCCAAGTCATGCCTTCAACACTGCTTAGAAATGGCTTCAGCTAAATATCCAATTCCATAGCTCACAAGGTGTACCTTCTGAAAATTCTAGAACATAAACACAATGCAGCCAAATGCTTTACCACTTTATAACAAGGATCACCTTTCCTCCAATTTCCAATAATATGTTTGTCATTTCCATCTGAGACCTCATCAGAATGAACTTTACCTTGTGACTTGTGAGGCTAAGATAGGAGGATCACAATCTGAGACCAGACTCTGCGACTCAGTGAGATTCTGTCTCAAAAAATAGAAAGGGCTAGAGATGTGGCTCAGTGGAAAAGTACCTGCCTGCTAACTGGGTTCAATCCCAGTCCCAGAAAAAAAATGGATTTTACCACCCATAGTTTACCTACCAACATTCTGTTCAGGATTACTTAGGTATTATCTAAGAAGACTGATTTTCTACTGCTCTTTTCTTCCTGAGCCCTCACCAGAATCACTTTTTAAGTTCTGTTTGTAGAAATGTAGGCTTAGTCTAGCTTGTGTCTCCATTTTTAGATGTTTGTTATAGCAGTACTCCACACCTGGTACAAATTTCTGCCTTAGTCCATTTGGGCTGCTATATTAAAAATGCCATGGACCAGGTGGCTTATAAGTAGAAGGAGTTTTTGTCATGGTTCTAGAGACTAAGAAGTTCAAGATAAAGGAACTGGCAGACAGGAATCTGTTATCCCTTCCTGGATCACAGATGGGCATCTTCTCGTCCTGTTATCACATGGCAGGAGGGACAAGGAAGCTCTCTAAAGTCTCCTTTCAGGGCAGTGACTTAGTATTTTCTGTGCTACTATAAAAACAATACTATAGATTGGATAATTTATAATGAACATAAATTATTTGTTCATGGGTCTGAAGGTTGGGAAGTCCAAGGTTGAGGAGCTCACATCTAGAGAGAATTTTCTTGCCTCATCATCCCATGGCAAAGGGTCACAGAGAAGGCAAGAGAGAACAAGAGAGGGACAATTGGTCATTTTATAAGGAGCCCATTCCCAGTCCTAACCCAGACACCTCCCATGAGGTCCCATCTCCCAATACATTGGGAATAAAACTTCCAACACGTGAACTTTGGGGAACACATTTGAATCACAGCTGGTATTAATCCCTTTCATGAGGGATATGCCCTTCT